ATTAAATATTTGTCGATTCTGTCAAAAGATCCATCGTACGAATATTTTATTTGATAAATTATAAAATGTTTAGGTTGCGGAGGTAAAATGGAGGGACCGAACGGTGTGATAGAGATCGGCAATTCGACGACGATGAGAGGGAACGGTCGTGGTATGCAAGATCTCTGCAAGTGGACTGTCGAAGTGAGATCTGGTAGAATGATAGAGGTGAAGATCAAGGAGATGTCGATTAAGCAAGGACCCAGCTTTACCTGCACCGACAACTATTTAATGGTAATTAAATTAAGAGAATTTCTATTTATAAAAAATGACAATTTCATTGAATTTTCAATCTTTACTTCAGCTTAAGAATGGTGGCGAGGAAACGTCGCCTCTGCTTGGTGCTGGCATGTACTGCGGGGACGTGACTCCCACTACTCTCCAAACAACCGGGAATCGGCTTTTCGTGAAGGCGCATGGCTTGCAAGGCAATATTAGATTCATGCTGACTTACAGGTAATAATACCTTGCAATTTTCTATCTAAATTTTACATTTCTCTGTTTATGCAATTAATTTCACTGTTTTTTAATCGCCATATACGATACACTCAGTGACAAATACGAACGCGAAATATGACGATACGTAAATTATTTATCGATATTTAGGGAGGTGGGCATAGACTGCGGTGGTCAGTATATACTGTCTAACAAGCAGAAAAAATGGGAGATCAGTACACCGAATTACCCGAACATCCCTCATCCGTTCTCTGAATGCACGTGGACCGTGATGGCCTCGAACAAGGACAGAATAACTCTCAATTTCATCGAGAGATTCGATTTGAGCAACACCCTCAAGTAAGTTTCCCGGTGTCCTCAAAGTTAAATCATTCGATGGTTGTAACGGAAAAAATGAATTTCAGCTGCGAGGACGAGTACGTCGAGGTCAGGGACGGCGGGACCGACAGTTCGAAGCTACTTGGGAGGTACTGCAAAGACGTGGCGCCCAGCACCATGATCAGCACCGGAAACGTGATGTACGTTCACTTCTACACGAACGTCCCGGAGCCGAGGAATGGGTTCAAAGCTGTTTTCTCTATTGGAGGTTCGTAATTATAAAATAAAAATAAAATTATAATTTGCTAGAAAATATATAATTTATAATAACACAGAATGTGTTACGTGGACGAGTGAAATAATAATAACGGTGCTTATGTATGTGTATAATTTTTATTTATTTAAGAGAATTGCGGTGGAATTATTCGAGAGGACAAGGGCATTATTTCGTCGCCTAATTATCCACTCTTCTACCCGAAGAATGAAACTTGCTTGTGGATTGTCGTCGGTCCAACCGATCATACGTTGAAGTTCAATTTCCTTGATATACATCTGCCCGGCTTCCGCGTCTGCAAGAACTCGGATTACGTGCAGATCTTCGACAAAATGCCTATGAATGACACGTGTGAGTATAGAGTGATTAATTATCGATTACCAGCAGTTTTCTATAACGATTTTTCTTCAGTATTCGAGCTTGGAACCTACTGTACCCAAACGATACCGGAGCCCATCGAAACGGCGTCTAACGAGGCTGTGGTCAAATTCACAAGCGATAATTTCGAGTATATACCATACAGGGGATTCAGCATGAACTTTTCATCCAGCCGAGAAGGTAATTAATTTATGTATAAAGATGATCAATATACAATACAATTAAAATTATTATACATATATAAATATGTACAATGACATTGAAATTTATATTCTGTAATAAATTATGGCAATTTGTTCCAGTTTGCGGTGGTGAATATACTGCCATGGAAGCAACTCTCAAGTCTAGCGGGTATCCGAACGTCGCGACGCGCCCAAGGTATGCCATCAACAGTTTCAATTATACTCAATTTCAAGCTTGATCGTTTTCAGATACTGCGATTGGAGAATCAAGGTACCAAGGGGATTCCACGTGGTCATTGAGATATTAGACATGGACATTACCACTCAAGTTCTTGTAAGATATCGTGACTCAAGAGTCGGCTTATATCCATCGGTAATTACTTCCCCATATCATTTTTTTGGCTTGTTTTGCTCAAATTTTTTTCTCTAATTTTTTCAGTTCTACAACGATTTTCGTTACAAATCCAGGATAAAGTTGAACCCAGATAATTCGACTGTAGGGCTGATCAGAAGTTCCAGCAATATGATGATGGTTGGTTTTTACCTAACAAGCGGCCACCGTGGTTTGAAATTCCGTTACCACGCGGAAGCGCCGGCTCGTACGTTCACCGATAAATTTTATATTAAATCGTATTTTATAATCTAATTTCATGCTATATTTTAATCGATTTTATTTACAGCCTGCGGCGGAGTCATAAGCTATGTTAGGGGCAACTTAACAGGCCCAAGGTNATACAATACAATTAAAATTATTATACATATATAAATATGTACAATGACATTGAAATTTATATTCTGTAATAAATTATGGCAATTTGTTCCAGTTTGCGGTGGTGAATATACTGCCATGGAAGCAACTCTCAAGTCTAGCGGGTATCCGAACGTCGCGACGCGCCCAAGGTATGCCATCAACAGTTTCAATTATACTCAATTTCAAGCTTGATCGTTTTCAGATACTGCGATTGGAGAATCAAGGTACCAAGGGGATTCCACGTGGTCATTGAGATATTAGACATGGACATTACCACTCAAGTTCTTGTAAGATATCGTGACTCAAGAGTCGGCTTATATCCATCGGTAATTACTTCCCCATATCATTTTTTTGGCTTGTTTTGCTCAAATTTTTTTCTCTAATTTTTTCAGTTCTACAACGATTTTCGTTACAAATCCAGGATAAAGTTGAACCCAGATAATTCGACTGTAGGGCTGATCAGAAGTTCCAGCAATATGATGATGGTTGGTTTTTACCTAACAAGCGGCCACCGTGGTTTGAAATTCCGTTACCACGCGGAAGCGCCGGCTCGTACGTTCACCGATAAATTTTATATTAAATCGTATTTTATAATCTAATTTCATGCTATATTTTAATCGATTTTATTTACAGCCTGCGGCGGAGTCATAAGCTATGTTAGGGGCAACTTAACAGGCCCAAGGTATCGACCTTTCAACGAATCATCCTACTACTGCCAGTGGGAAATGCAGGCGCCAGAAAACATGATTGATGATAATAATAATAATTACACCGAATTAACGTTCACAGTGAAAGTGATGGGCGTTGTCAATGGGCTGCCACACTTGTCACGAAATAGAATCTGTTATAATAATCAGTACATCTCAGTTACCGGTAAAATAATTAATAACCCGTTTGTTT